TCCTCCTCCTCCTCCTCCTCCTCCTCCTCCTCCTCCTCCTCTCTTTATTTCCTCCCTGCTTTTTGCCCAAAGGAGTCAAATGGCATTATTATTACCTTGTCTTATTCCTCTTTCCTTGTCTCATCTTTGGTCATAAATCACAACAACATTCCAGGCCAGCAAATCCGCCTCCTCTCTCTTGTCATGTGTTTTTACTCCTCTGAGCAGTAAAAAACGCTACCAGCTGCTTTTTTCGTGCCAGGAAACTTGTGAGCAATAAACAAAAAAAGAAGAAAAAAGAAAAACTTTAAACCTGGCAGCGTTTTCATATAATGTGTGGAAAAGAGGAAAAGAGGATGGGGTGGAACTGGGGGTACAAGTGAGTCAGCTTGATAATGGCTTGCAGAAGCTGTAACAAATTCTGACCTCTCTTGATGCCCCGTTAGGAAAACTTCTCACTGCAAAAGGTTGCACTTCCATTCCACAGGGAATGAAAGAAATGGTGGTTACTTTACAAAAGTCGCTAGGATCTCAGAGGAGAAGAGCCAGAACATGTCGTTTACCGGCAGTCCTCACCTTATGACCCCAACTCAGCCCCTGCCAATTTTTTTTGTTACTAAGTGAGACCTTGGTTAAATGACTTTCTTGCCCCTGTTGTTGAGGGAAACATGGCAATCGTTAAGGTGACTCAAAGCAGTTGTGAAGTGAACCTGGCTTTTGAAGGTCACTAAGGTGGACCATGTGACCCACTCTCCTGGACACTGCGTCCGTCATAAGTATGAGTCCGTTGCCAAGCCTCTGAATTTTGATCACGTGATCATGGGGATGCTACGAGGACCATTTAAGTGTGAAAAATGGTCATAAGCTAAGTCACTTTTTTTCCCAGGGCCGTTGTAACGGTCACTAAATGAACAGTTGTAAGTCAAGCAATACCTGTAATTCAGTGTTGGTGGAAAGTGAGTTTGGCATACTCGTTTTTTCTTTTTTCTTTTTGGTGTTCTTTTTTTTTCTAACTGGGGTGGAGAAGGTGAAGGAGATCAAAGCACTGGGAATAAGAGGGGTGTGTGGGGAATGAAAAAGACAACTACATTGGAGGAACAGATACACACCCACACAGAGTCAGGTGCAAGAAGTCAGGAATCAGGATAGTTTATTTTATGCTACCTGCTTGCAAGAATCTGAACTATTAGCAGTCAAGGCAAATTGGAGGTGTAGGGACTCCAAACTAATGGTGCATTTGACCCTACCCTCAGCCGGTTGACTCCTATACATCTGCACATGCATGCACACACACACACACACACATGACAGAGAGAGGGGGGAAGAGGGAGGGAGGGAAGGAAAGAGAGAGAGAGAGAAAGAGGCTCATAGATGCTTAACCTAGGTCAAGGGGATGCAGTGGCTCGGTGGCTAGGATGCTGAGCTTGTCGATCAGAAAGGCCGGCAGTTCGGCGGTATGAATCCCCAGCGCTGCATCATGGAGTGAGCTCCCATTATTCACCCCAGCTTCTGCCAACTTAGCCGTTCGAAAGCATGTAAAAAGTGCAAGTAGAAAAATAGGGACCCCTTTGGTAGGAAGGGAACAGCGTTCCATGTGCCTTCGGCATTTAGCCATGCCGGCCACATGACCATGGAGACGTCTTCGGACGGCACTGGCTTTTTGGCTTTGTAACAGAGATGAGCACTGCCCCCTAGAGCCAGAAACAACTACACGGTTGTGTGAGGGGAACCTTTACCTTACCTATATAAGTCTAAGTGCTTGTGAGGTCTTGGAGCACACCAGTATCTTGCCAAGCAGATCATATATTTATTTAGAAGAACAGATGAGAATTACCTTTAAAAGAGCCATGGTGGCACAGGGGTTAAGAGTGCAGCATTGCAGGCTAACTCTGCCCGCAGCCTGGAATTCAATCCTGACGGGGGACACAAGGTTGACTCAGCCTTCCATCCTTCCGAGGTCAGTAAAAGGAGGACCCAGATTATTGGGGGGGCGATGTGCCAACTCTTGTCAGCCGTTCAGAGAGGTCTGCAAAGCATGGTGAAGCGGTGTATAAGTCTCAAAAGTGTTATTGCTATTATCTGCCTGTTTACCTGCTGGTCCTCTTCCTCTCTGCCAAGCACACTGGTCCCTGGTGTGAGGGTATGTGCCCTTGGACTACATCGTGGAAAATATCACCATGCAGTCCATGGGCATATACACTTGCCCCAAGGTTTCTTTCGTCAAGGTCCGACTCGACCCAGCGCTGGACAAATGACCTGCTCCGACCTTCCACCTTCTGAGGAGACAAAATGCTCTTTGTTTTTTCTTTTCCTGCTTCCCACAGGGGTACATTGGTCCACCGGGACTATTGGGAACGCCAGGGGCTGATGGGGAAAGAGTAAGTATTGGCCAGTCTTGTTTTATCGTTGTGGGTTCTGGGGCGTCCCCCTTTGTTGCAGAGAGCGACGGAACTTGACCGCAAAGCTCCCTTTTCCTTCCCCACCTTTGTCTTGCTGTGGAGGTGGCCAACCCAACTCTAGGTACATCTTCAAGCTTGGCACCTTGCCTTTCGCTCAAGAGCTCACGTTGGCGAGAATTGTGCTCCCTCTTCGAATCTCATCCTCCCTCAAAGCAACCCCGGAAGGTGTAGGCTGTTGAAGGGGAGAGAGAAAGCGATGGGCCTTAAGTTCACCTTGTGAACTTCCAGGGCAGAAGATGACTCTTGGATTCTGGTCCCACCTAGTCTTAGTTCTACACCATGGTGGTGTTCACAGTGGTTGAGTCCTTGCAGTCTCTTGAGTGTGATCCATTGAGGCTTTCCAGTAGGGGTTGGGGTATTAAGTCCCTCCCTCCCTCCCTCCCTTCCTTCCTTAAATCATACCTAAGATTTTTTACATATTCTCATTCTTTTTCCTTCCTTCCTTCCTTCCTTCCTTCCTTCCTTCCTTCCTTCCTTCCTTCCTTCCTTCCTTCCTTCCTTCCCTCCCCTTCCCTTTCTTACCCAATTCACACCTAAGATATTTTACATATTCTCTTCCTTCCTTCCTTCCTTCCTTCCTTCCTTCCTTCCTTCCTTCCTTCCTTCCTTCCTTCCTTCCATCCTT